GTGTTGACTGTGGAGCCAAGTAAATTAAAACTGTTGACTATCTCAATCTCTTTACAATCCATACTGATGCTGCCAGGCTCCAAAATAACATTATAAGCTCCTTTTTAATCTTAACTACCACGTTTCACCACACAGCTGTCAGAAGTTCAAACTGGACTTCTGTTTATTTTCAGAGCCCATTTAAACATCTTGAAGCATATAAATCTGAACTTTAAGGTCTGGCACATATGCCAATTTCTTCATGTCATCTTCCCAAAGTTTCTAACGAGAAGTAATCACTAGACGCTTATACTCAGAACACTGTCTGGCATAGAATAGCCATGCAATAAAAATTTACTTAATGAAGTAATGACTGTTTCTCTTTAATATTTTGATAATACTTTGTAATTCTCTAACAGCACTTTTATCTTCTTGCCTTGACCTATCAATTAGTTTATTCAGTAAAACAAATGGGGCACAGTTGTTGAAATCTAATGGAGGACGTTCAACTATGAATGCATTCTTATTAAGTGGCAATGAGAGTTTTGAAAGCACACATGACATAGTCTAGCATGACACACAGAATAAAGGAAGGCTTTATACTTTAGATTTAATTGCATATATGATCCTTTCTCCTATGATTATATCCATTTTTTATACTGCAAATACGGCCATCTCTGGCACAGTTGTGTAAATGTTTACGGTCACCTCTAACTCTCTATTCTATGATTCTACACATGTGTGCAATTCACATGTGGCCTCAAATGACAGACAGTAAATACCAATTTAAAGAGAAACGTGTTCTTTTCTTGACTTTAGGAAACAAACATAAGCACAAACAAGAGTTAGAAGAATGCTGATGATGTACCAAGTAATTGAAAGGAAGAGTGAGATTTTTCAAATCCCTGGAGGAAGTACTCACAGCTTTGCTTCTTTGTATTCACTTTCAATCTTTTTCAAACAACAGAACAAAATTCTGTTTTTTTTTGTGATCATCAATAAGAAAACATCACCAGTGGCACAAAATCTATCAAGTTTGTTTGTTGGAAGGTAATTCAGTTAACTGAGGGACCTTGTTTATTTTTTTTTAAGGGACTAATTTTAAATTTCACAGTTCCACCTCCCGACCTTGACACAATCTGGACTAAATTACAACTCAAATATTTTATTTTTCCAATATATAAGAATGAATATTCATGGTACTCATCACTTCCATTTAAAAAGGAATCTTTATAAATATACTGTATGATCCTCTTTTACATGATTTAAAATTGGGTTTGATTTACACATGTATTTTTTGGGTTTAATTACTGTTTAAAGATAGATCTACTAGAACAGTCAAGGACTCATTTATAACTATTGATGTGTGTAATAGATGCAAAGTGTTACAGAAGTGCTGGTGTAAGAACTTACGCTTCGAACTAACAAAAGGATGGGCTTTGCTCATTGGACGAGAAGTAAATGCCTAAATCAAGCCGAACCAATTAGATTCTTTCATTCAGGATACTGGATTTTGCTATCAGGTATTATCTATTAGAATCAGTATTAACTTGGGAAGATATCTTCCCATATGCATAAAGAATCAGTGGAAGTCAATTTGCAGATAAAAATGAAGGAAGCAAATATGAAAGAGGACACATAACATTTGTTTGGTGGTTTGTTTTTTTTTTTGCATTTGCTATTGTTGTTGGTTGCTATCACATCAATTCAGAGCTATGGTAACATTCCTTAGGATAAAAACCTAAATGGTACCCAGTATTGAGCCCTCATCATGACAGTGGCACTGTATGAATCAATTGTTGTGGCCATCATGCCAGTCCATCTAACTGAGGAAGAATCTGAATAAGACGGATGACACAAGGACAATATCACTGTACCCACCTTGTTTTTGTTGGTCCTTAACTTTTTGAAACCTGAGTAAGATTGAAAATCATCACAAATTATCAAAGACCAGAAGTGTTATAGGACAACATCAGGGCTTCATACATGAAAGACCTGAAAGGCAACTGAAAAAAGAATGAATGAAAAGACTACAATGGATGTCAGAAGAAACGCTGAAACTCGAGTTTAAAGGCAGAGCTATTTGAAAAAACAGAAGAAATGATTAAATAAAAAAGGTGAATGGAGGATTTCAAGGGGTGTCTTGAGAAGATAACATAGACCTGTAGGCAGAAAATTTAAAAAGAGAACATGCTTGGCATTTCTCAAGATGAAGGTACTGAAAATACAAACTGTTGTTTTAACACTAAAAAATCCGTTCTGTTAAAAAAACGAAATGAAAAAATATTATGTGTCAACTACTATCTCATTTCATTCTAATGGAGCTCAATTTGATGTTTACAGCCAAGAAAATTAAGGTGCAGAGTCAAGGTGTAGGCAGGCAACGCAGGCATGAGTAAGAGCCCACGGTGCTTATCAAGACATTGCATTTGGAGCTGCAGAGCAGGGTAAAGGATCACTGAGTCCAGAAAACAGAGCGGTATGTCTTGAATGAGATACTGGTCTTGTCTGAGATCTTGGTCTTGCCTGAGATTTGTCTGAATTTTTGACACATGGATATTATTAAAAATAATAATAATTTTTTGGTGGTATAGTGGTTCTGTTAGTCCAAAGGTGGTACTTTTCTGGTAGTTTAAATCCACCAGTAGCTCTACTTGAGAGTGGAGGGTAACTTACAGTCTCCAAAAACCAGCTGGGGGGTTAGCTATGAGTCATTTCCAACTCAACAGCAATGAGTGAGTGAGTGAATGAATAAGACCTTTGCTTAAACAACTGAAGAGGTTTCACTTACTTGCAATAAGAAAATCATATACAATAGCTCCATCACTTTGTTTCACACCCTTTTAACTGACAATGCTTGGATGTCACAAATGGTTAATGTGCTTAGCTGCTAAAGGAAAGGCTGGATATTTGGGTCTATCCAGAGGGGCTTTAAAGGAAAGACCGGGTGATCTACTACTAAGATACTGGTAACTGATAACTCCATAGAGCAGTGTTCTACTCTGATTCACACAGAGGTTTGCTATCAATAGAAATCAACTTTGCAGAAAATATGTGTGTGCACATCAATTTTAACCATTGTTACTGATGTTTGTGTACATATTCCCATTTCTATATAACTCCTATGTTTGTGCTGTGTTACACATACAGGTACTAGCATAGCACATCTTTGCACTTGTTTCCCTATTGTATAAACAAATCAATTACTTCTTTGTGGAAATGCAGAGATAAAAAGACAAAGGGCTTAAAGAAAGATGTCTAAGACTTTGTTTGTTTGATGAGCTTGACTAAATTATCAAGAAATATTTTACTGTGAGCTATCAGAAGTTCTGGCCTATTGGTAAGAAGCTACACCGAAATCCTGAAGTCATGTAGTTCAAAGTCACCAGGTGCTCCACAGGAGAAGGAAGGGCAATCTCCATCCATGCTATTAACTGACTCTGAAAACCTACTGGAGGGTCAGCTATGGGTCAGTTCTGACTCAATGACACTCAACAATATTGTTTATTATGTCTGCAATTAATGCTTTTAGTGTCACTGTTAAGCAATGAATGATATTTCCCAAAATACAAGCTGTAAATTCTATCTTCTATGAATACTGGCACAAATAAGTCATCTCAAAAAAAATATAATCTAACAAATCACAGAGTGATGAGAAGTCACAATGGGGGAAAAATGTAGAAGTCAAAGAGATGAACAGATTTCAAAGGTCAGCTAGAGACAACAAAGCTAAATTTAATGGAATGTGCAAAG